TCTCTAATGGGAAATATCAGTAAAAATAACATCAATATATCCTATTTTCCTGATCAACAATTGAATCTTGTTATGATGTAATATAACAACATGTTATAAATTATCATTATCATTTGTAATAAATATGTAATATCATTTGTAATAAATATGTATCTTCTGGCATATTTTTAATTTTGACCTCCTCAATCAGGAACATATCATTTTCAAATGCAAAATTCAATTGCCTTGATATCAGCATTATATAATAAAAAGTAACTTTGTAATGTCTTTAGAGATGGCGGATTTTTTTTTTAACAGATCAGTAAAAAAAACATAAATACGAAAAAAAGTAAAGATTTAGTTTAATCTAAACTGAATAAAATTAAATAGATAATTTGATGAACAAAGAGGAAATAAATTCAAAAAAAAGAAAAGAAAAGGAAAAAGTACTTTTAAATTACTACTTACTTTAAATACAACTTCTAAAGATATAGAAAAAACATTTTTCGAATTTCGAATTTAAAAAAGATTTAAACCATTCAAAATAATCAATAAATATCATGAAGAAAAAGAAAAAGTAAAGTAAAAATTATCTATTAAAAAAGAAAAAGAAGAATTTGATTAAATCAAATTTTATTTAACTTGATTTTTTGTATCTTATTTTATTTAACTATTTTAATTTATTACTATTATACATTATATTTATATATATATATATATATATATATATATATATATATATATATATATATATATATATATATATATATATATATATATATATATATATATATATATATATATATATATTTATATATTTGTATTTTTTGTTAAACATACTATTATCTATAATTTAGTTATTAATATATTATTTTTACTTTTATTTAATTTGGTTTTATGTTATTTCTGTTTTCGTTTATAATATATTTATATTATTAGGTATAATTTTAATACAATTTTCTATTTAATTTATAATTAGTTATATATTCTAATTTTTGGTGAGTGATATAATATTACTTATTATTCTATTGTTTTATTGTTATAACTATTATTTAATATTAGTTTTGTTCATTAAAACTGCTTAATTTTTTTTGCTAACAGGCTTGGTCAGGAAGGCGTGCGATTTCAAGTCTATATATGACCAACCAAATAATATTTTGTTTTGATGATTTAATCACAGCTTTTAACAAATGCGCTAAAAAAATTGGTTTTTAATAATGTTGAAAATAAATAACTTCTACACGTTTATCTTTAACATTTTTATATTAGCAAAATGCTTTTAAATAAAGTAGCTAATGATTTTGATTAAAGTATCATTGAAAGTTGTATAATTTTTTATTTATATTATTTAATTATATAAGATTTTTTATAAGTAAATCTGTAAAAAATATTAATTAAAAAAAAAAAAAAATTAAATCTTATAAGCGTTGATTTTAAACAGCGAAGGTCTCTTTAATAAACTTTATACAAGAATCATTAAAGTTTTTGTTGAAAAGAAAAAAAAAAGACAAACTTTTTTGAAAGCCGTTTAAATTAAATAACTTTGAACTTTACTTAAGTTTTTTATATTATTAAAACGCATTTAAAATAAAGTAACAAATCACTGCTAATGATTTTTTATAAAAACATTAATGAATAATAAATATTTTTTTATATTTATATTAGTATTTATTTTTTATTATAAATGTTTTTAAATAAAAAAAAATTATATCACTTTTTAAAATATTTTAAAGATATAATTTTTTTTTTTTCAGTGCGAAGAATTTTTAACAATCTTTTTTTAAACTTTTAAATGTGCGCGTTTACTAAACAATCGTCAGTTGTAAGTTGTTACTTTATTTAAAAAGCATTTTGCATAATATATTATAAAAGCATTAGTAAAGATAAACGATTCAAATTTATTATTCCAAACGTAATTTAGATAATCTTATAGTTATAGTTTATTATTTTTTTAGTTAAGTTTTAATTCTATTTCTGCTATTTTAGTTTTAGTTAAGTTATTTTTATTTTGTTATTTTTTATACTAAAATTTATATGCTTCTTTTATGATTCAATGTGATGTATGTTTGTTTTAAACTCATTCAAAATGTAGCAAGTTTTATGATCATGGGTACAGTTTAACACAATCAATACGTTCAACATGGCTGTGTGTAAATTGTACTAAAGGTGTCTTTCGATTGAGTGATGTATCTGGTAATGAGTTTAAACTATTCTTCTCTTCAAATAAAATTATTATAACGTATGACTTGTCTTTATCAACTAAACTTATTCTAGCATCAGGATTAAATAAAATCAATTTAATAAATTTATTACATCACATGCTTCAGTTTCTGATGAGGAAAACTGTTTATCTTTTGATATAGATTGTCAATATTATGAAATTAATAAATTTTGTTCTCATAACTTTGGCATCATAAACTCTATGTCCTTTTTCCATATAAACAAAACCTCTTTACAAAAGCACTTAAAAGATCTGAACATATTATTATCATTAATTAGTTTTGAAATTAGCATTAATTGAATTACAGAAACAATGTTAAAAAAAGAATCTCCTTCCACACATCCGATTATTATTCAAAATTATAATTTTGAGCACACACCAACCAAATCTTCTTGTGGTGGAACCTTGTTATATTTATCAAAAAAACTGATTTATAAAAGAAGAGATGATTTGATCATATACACGCCAAACTATTTAGAATATACTTTTATTGAAATAATTTTTCTCAAAAAATCAAATGTTATTGTTAGTTGCATATATAGTCACCCTAGCATGGATGCAAATGACTTTAATAATAAAATGTCTGTCCTTCTCCAAAAAATATTTACTGAAAATAAATGTCTTTCTACTTGGTGATTTTAACATAAATCTGATACAGTCAAACTATGACTTTGCAACTTCTGAGAATATTTGTCCATTTATTATGCTACCAACAAGAGTTACTGACCATTCTGGTACAATCATTGACAATTTCCAAATGTAACCACTAATCAAATTATATCAGAAAATATAACAACTTCTATTTCTGATCAATTGAGGTAAGTTTCTTATTATTCCTAATTTCAACAAATTATTTATAATTTGTTGAAATTAGGAAATCATACAATCATAATTTATCATAATTTATATAGCAGGAACTTTAAAGATTATAATAAATAATCATTTAAATTTGAATTATTAAAGTTGA